TTTGTGACTGAGATACCTCACTCAGCATAATGTCCTCCAGGGTCACCCATTTTGGATAATATTGCATCAACTTCCCTTCTTAGTTTGTATTTACTGGATCCCTCCCTCCTGAGACTAGCATAAGGTAAACAACAGAGAACTCCCCCTTATCTGCTGCCCCACGATCCTTTTTCTGTTTGTTTATTTTCTACTCCTTTGTGATTACCCTTTGTTTACCTTCCTGATGATTCTCAATAAATGCACAGCAAGGCATGGCTTAGGCACTTCAGTCGTCAGGACTGCTGGCCCCTGTCTTTACTCTCTCTCATCTCATTCTTGGTTGTCTGTCTCATTATTACTTTACCCTCGGTCTGCAACAGATGAGTGATCCGAGAAGTGATCTCCGTGTATAAACTCAAAACCTCATTGCCATTGATTCAGCACTGACTCAGCTGGCCCTCCAGTGAGTCTTCACAGGAGGAGATTGCCCATCTTTCTTCCAAGCAGTGGCTAGGGGACTCGGAACGCCAGAGAAGGCTGCCCTTGCCTAACAGTGCAACTACCTATGAACTACACCAACATAGCTTCCTTTAAGTACAAAAATCACTGATACTCAACCCAACCTAAGTTAAAATTTCAATTGGCATCTTGTTGGTAAGATAAACACAATGGATCTGAAGAGTATATATATAATCAATAAGATCTGAACTTGGATAGTTTTAAAAGACTGGTTTAACGGTCAACTGGGCAATGCGTGTCTATCATATTTCTAGCTAAGATTCCTTATGCAACTGCACTCACCAATAGACAGAGGTTTGCAGGAAGAGAGGGCAGGACAGAAGCTAAACATGGATTGCTAGGGCACCAACAACAGAGGAGTAACATTTCCAGCAACAAAAACAAATAAACCTTCAGAAGGAAATAAAGGAGTCTATCTCAGTAAACAGGGAGTTCTGGTGGCCTACTGGGGAGGGAGTAGCTCTACTGATCCAAAGGTTCAAGTTCACCAGCTGTGCCAAGGGAGAAGGAGAAAGACAGTCTCCTCTGTGCTTTAAGCCTCTGAACAGCCAGCTGGAAGGTCAGCTGTGACTCGGCTTTGATTTGATGGTGATGGGTTGTGTTATTCCCCATTAACAGCTGCTCTTAGCTGTTTTCTCTACTTACACGTTCATTTCCTGCCCGTTCTCAGCTGCAAAATAGAAGGTCTTGATCTCAGGATGTCTGATCTTAAAAGCACTTGAAGGTGGAGAAAACACAGAGACATAGAAATTAGTGTTTCAGAAGTCAATGGGTGTGAATGTCTACGGATCAACTGTTAAATTCTGCTTTCTTTATACAATCATGAAATACGTGTAATTCAGTCAAGTGAAATACCTATCTATTATCCAAACCCTAATTCATATAGCCGTGGAGCCTCGGGATATTACAGCAGGGCATGTAGAGGAGTAGTTTCAATGCAAAAACCACTGACATACACTTTTCATCCCCACTTGCTAACTGCTTTGCTATAAAAACACAATAGATGAAAATTTAGAGTGATAGAGGTCTCACTTCAAAACACTCAGACTAACTCCTTCAATCAAAGCATTGATTCAAATTCAAATGAATATATACAAAGGTTTTATTTAGGGGAAAATAAGGAGGGATAAAATACCTCACTGTGACAATATATGGGAAAGAGAATTCAAGGCAACTCTAACCCCAAAGGGGGGGGAAAGCACAAACACTGAAGATAGCAATCAGTAAAGATGCTTAGTGTGTTCCACTACTGGGAATATACTCAAAAGAAACCATATCTGCCACACAAGCAGTTGTATGCTCACCCACGTTTATTGTGGCTTTGTTCACAATAGCAAAGAGCTGGAAACAACCCAAGTGTCCGTCAACAAACGAATGGATAGAGAAACTGTGGTATATTCACACAGTGGAATATATTATGCTGAGTGAAAAATCTCAGCCACAAAAGGACAAATAATGCATAGTGCCACTGTTGTAAAGAAGGACTGACATCAGAGTTGGGGGAAACAAAGAGGGAATAAATAATATATGCTGCATTGAAACAGATAAGGGAGAGAACTGTTTAGGAGGAACATATGATTAGGTATTAGTGTTATGAAAAGAATCCAGAATGAAAACTGCAGAGTGGTGTGGACTGGGAGGGGGAGATTATATAATAAGGAAAGATTTGTTGTTGTTGTTGTTTACTTTTCAAAGAGAAAAGCACTCTGGTGGCAGGGGAGCAGGAAGGAAAGTGTGCAACAATGAAAGAATGGAAATTAAAAAAATAAAATTTAAAAAAGAGGGGGGAAAGAAGATAATTCAGCATAGGCTAAAAGTAAAAAGAACTTAAATGTCAAAAGTAAGTAAATTCTGCAGTAGCCAGAGTTTTGGAAAGCTATTTAAAGACACTGAACAATATTTACAAATATTCAATAAAAGTAAAAGTAGAGACCACAACAACAAAAGATGTTAGTGTGGCTGTTGCCTCTTTTTAATTCACCCAGGAAGGCCTGCAGGTTGACCAAGGGTTCATATCAATAACCAACTTCATTCAAAAAACCATGATGCAACCCAAGTCCACATATCCCAGGGCACATGAAGCTATACCAACCAGAGTGGCAAAGGCTCAAAGCTAGTGCCAGTTTATGAGTGTTCTTAGAAAATGGAAATAAATGAACCAATCATTGTATCTAGGAACATAAGTCAGTAAGGAACTGTTCCTTTCTGCCAAAAAGTAGAAAAGAGAAGAAGAAAAGGGGGAGAAGATGGACAGGTAAATACAGCTGGACGACCCCTGTGGGAAGGCAGGACTGGCAGTTAGGATATCTGGGTATAAACCTGTGAGCCGTGATTTTAGGCAGGTCACAGCCTCCCTGTGCTTCCTCTCCTTTGGACTGATGATTTCTGGGGTTCTGAGAGCAATTCCTTGGGGGGGGCTTAAATGACACCACCTGTAATCTCAATTTTATGGCATCTCAGAGAAATTCAATTTCAAGTAAGATACTGACAAGTCAATGAATAATAGCAATGACAAAAATCTCAATCTATTCCACTCTGGTGCGTCTTCTTTAACCATGATTTCTTCTCTTAGCAAGGATGTGGCCGTGACACCTGACCTGTGTGTCAGTTCTGTATGGTGACTCATTTATCACTGCATCAGACATCTGCAAACATGCTCCATGCCAGGGACCCAAAGGGTTTTCAAAACTCATCTGTCCCACAAAAGCCCAGAAAGTAAGAGGTTAAATGTTCCTCTTACTATTTAGGACATCAGCCCACAATGTTCCACATTCTCAGACATTCTGCGTGTTACTGTCATTAAGTTCCAGAACAGGATGGAGGGCTAGCGCTCTAAATCAGAGTATTGTGTGGGAGAAATGATAGACAACTCACTGCTTTTTCTTGCATTCACTTGCTCTTTCCACAGAGAAATCGGGCAGGTTGACAAATCCATCAGCTTTTTCTGCCTGCAACACATACAGAGGACAAGGATGAATAAGTGTGTCAGTCCTGAGGGCTGATTTCTTGAACTCACAAACACTGATCAGAGGTGGTATAACTGGAATGAAGGAGGAAGCAGAAGGTACCCCCCCCCATCAAGGTTAACTATTGAATCCTCAGATTCAGCTTCTTGTTGTTGATGTTGTTATTGTTATGTGCCATCGAGTCGCTCGTGACTCATAGTGACCCTATGTTCAAGAGCTCTAAACCCTGCTCTATCCTGTGCCAACCTCACTGTCTCTGACACACCTATCCCCATCTCAATGAGGGTCTTCCTCTCTTGCACTGTCCCTCCACCCTCCCAATTACAATGTCCCTTTCCAAGGACTGGTCCCTCCTTGCAACATGCCCAAAGCATTCTGGCTTCACCTTCTCCAGGACAAACCTGTTTCTTCTCCTAGCAGTCCATGGTATATTCAACACTCTTCTCCAGCACCACAGCTCAAAGGCATCAATTCTCTTTCTATCATCCCTAGTCACTGTCCAGCTCTCCGACACATAGCACACAATTGCAAAGACTATGGCCTGGATCAGGCGTCCCTTAGCTTAGTAGAGAAATGTTCCTGAATGTCACTCTGCATCTTTGCATGAGACAAGGCATAATAACACTCAAGAATGACCAACATATGGCATGCCGAGCACTAGCTCCCTTCCTGTCTTCCTGGAAAACGCTGCTACCCTGCCAGAGTCCTATTTTCTCTCTTTGGTCCGTAGGCACCCCTGGCATCCTTCCAGCATGTGACTCTAAGAGGCTGTGAGAACAGAAGACAAAGCCCAACAACAGTACCCATGACTGAGTGGATGGAACTCAGAATTCAGCTTTCTCAGACCCAGGTTCTTGTTCTGGCCCTATCACCTGCTAGCATGATAATCATTGAGGTCAAATGAACAAAGCACAGAACAGGCCCTCAACAAGAATGCTTTTCTCCTACAAATCTGCAGGCAGTGCCCTGGGAATCCAATCATAATCTCCTAACTTAGAGATTCTCAGTTCCAGAACCAAGAACTGAGACCAAGGTAGAAAATATGCAGGTGTGTAGCACAACCCACATATCTCTCCAGAAAACTGCCTGCCTGTCTATGGATGTGTCTTCCATACCTTATGGGGGGAAATGTCACTGAGCCACAGGCTTTTAGGATATTTGTGACAGATGGAATTTACTTCTTCTCTCATGCTCACTGGTATTGCTGGGGGAAGGAGAGGGAAATATATCGTCCACAATATTAAACATAAAGGAGTCCATGGGTTTGGGGAGAAAAGTGAACATTGATTTTGAAAATACAATCTTCATTTTGAAAGTCTGTTGATGCTGTTTGTTATTTGCAGTTGATTCTGCATGTTACTAAGTGAGCCCCTTGGGGGGGTCCTTGTCCCTTATGGACAACTGAAGTTCATCTTGCACTCTTCTTCCCAAAAAGATTGAACTCTAGAACATCCAACCCAAAGCGAATCTTCTCTCTCCTATGTGTGTTAGTTTATTCAAACTGCTGACTTCTTATAAGGCTCAAAACTCAATACTCATGGATACTTCCATCTTAAAAATATCATATCCATAATGCTTATTTATGTGTTTATACATTTATTGATATACGTGTGTATATGTGCATCTCTCGTTACTAGATGATGATTTACCCACCACTTATAGCTGAAAGAGAACTCAAGAACCAAAATTCAATCAATCAATCAATCAATAATAGGCAGTACACATAATCCTTCTGTAGGCTTCTCTATATGTATTACATGAGAACACAATGCAATATAATTATGTTGTTATTCTTGTTAAGTGTTCTCCATGCAAGTTGTTCTAACTCAAAACAATTCCATGTACAGCAGAACAAAAACCTGTCTGCTCTTGTGCCATCCTTAAAGCTCCCACAATGCGTAAGCCCATCACTCCAGCCACTGCATTCACACGCATCATTGAGAATTCCCTCCTCACTTGCCATTTCCCAAGGACTGGCCACTCCTGTTAACATAGACCAGAGGATGTAAAACAAAGGCTCATCAGCTTTTGCTTCGAAGGGGCACACTGCTTGTACTCCTTCCAAGAATGTTTGTTTGCTTGTTTGTTTGTTTGTTTGTTTTGACAGCCAGTGACACACTCAATACTCCACCACAACTCAAAGGCATCAATTCTTCATTGGTCTTCCTTTTCTGCTGTCAAAGTTACACATGCATATGAAGCAACTAAAAATACTACACTACACTTCAAAATAACATCTTTGCTCTTTAGCACTTAAACGAGGTCCTGGAAGCAGATTTTCTCAATGGAACACTTTTAAAAAAAAAATTTTACTGTAGCTTCTGTGGGTTTTGGTACATATTTCTTTATGCTTTAAATGAAATTAAATTACCATTGAATCTTGCCCATAATTACCCTGTCTTTTCAGCCTGATCAGTCCCATTTGCTTCGTCTCACCCCTCACCCACCAAACTGCACAGCCCTGTGGTTTCACTCCTACCTACCCTGTCCCCTTTACTCCCCCTCGTCCACTTTGAGTTCCTGCATGAAAATGATTATAAGAAACACAATGTGAATGAAGAATAATGTGAAACGCAATGTATATAAACTTTGTAAGTAAACCAACTAAAAAAACCCGTGTAAAATAGAATGTATATGAATGATTATATGGAATGTAAATGAAAGATTGCATAAAATACAATGAATAAGAATAAAACAAAGAAATTATTATAAGAAAACCAATAAAAATATTTTTCAAGAAATTACATCATTGACAATTCAATCTTTTCTCCCTCTGTCATTTGTCCATATGCTGTCTATTTGTCCAGTTGAGGATTTTGGTTTCTTGATGTTGAGATGTGATCCACAGTGAAGACTGTAGCTTCTTTGTATTTCATCAGTAGGTGCTTCAAGTTCAAGTCTTCTTGACTTCCAGCCACAAGATCGTGCCATCTGTGTATCACAAGGTATTGATGAGTTGTCCCTCCGTTCCTGATACCACATTCTTCTTCATATGGTCCACTTTCTCAGATTGTTATGCATTCAGTTTGACTAAGTATGGTGAAGAATACAACCTTAACCCATATTTTCCCTGATTTTAAAGCATGCAGTATCTCCCTGTTGTGTTTAAATGTCAGCTTCTTGGTCTTTGTGCAGGTAGCTATGCTGCTGATGTGTAGTGCAGAGATGGAATCACCCCCCACAGACCCTCCAATGGGTTTTCAGAGGCAGTGGACTGCACAATAGCTAACTGCCCAGCTGATGGATTTGAACCATGTGCCTTTGCATTGGCGATGCAATTCCTGATCACTAAGCCACCAAAGCTCCCTGGTTAGGCTTCAGCAATTCTACTCTGAAGTGTCTCTCTCATCGCCACTGAGTCAGACCAACGCATAGCTCATACTCCAGCAGGTTTCGAGGGGCTTCAAATTGCTAGGGAGGAGATTGTCTACCTTTCCCTCTCTGAGCTGCTGGTGGATTCAAACCACTTGCCTTTGCATTGGCTACACAACTGCTTACTTCTGGCCCAATAGAGCTCACTAGCGCTCCTAAGTAGATACTCCAGAAAACAAAACAGATATTCAGACAAAGCCTTTTACATGCACGTCCATAGCTACATTATCCATAGTAGTCTCAAAGTGGAAAGAGCCAAAATTTTCATCCATTTACAGATAAACACATTAATAACTTTGGGGGTACACATACTGTGATATATTCACCATGAAAAAGAATTAAATACAGATACCTGCTATAATGTAAATGAATCCCAAAAACATTATACTATGTGAAAGAAGCCAGGTATGAAAAGGTCATGATTCCATTTATGTGAAATACCCGCAAACCAAAATCACAGAAAAACTTTCTACTACAAACATTCTTCATGTCTCTGCTCTAATTAGAACCAACAGGGCTCCCAAACATCCTTAGATAAAGGGTTTTAGAAACGTACAAAAGGCTGTGTGTTATTGAGCCCTGCTTCATTCCACAATTCCGACTCCTTCATTTCCACTGCCCCTACTCAACAGAAACAACATCAATAAAAGTAAGAACAAAGAAAATACAATATTTCCATGAAGTCAAGTTAGAAAGATGTCCAACTTACGGCATGATGAGTTTAGAGACAATTTCATTGTAGTACAAGAAGCTCACCACAAATAATGGTACTACAAAAATCAATCCCCAAAGAAGGAAACAAATATACATTTTTACAGTCATTTTGTTCATTTAAAAACTAAGCCAATATTAAAGATTAGTTGGAAATCTTCATTGAGTAGAATATTTTGTGTCTCATAAAAACAACTAAGATTATGTCAGATAAGAATCTAAATGTATGTGAGTGAAAACACCTTCACCCCCCCCCCCCCCACCCTCTAGTAAATCTTTCCTTTGCAGAGATATTTTTCACTGCAGGCATATCTCATTTTATTCAGCTTTGCTTTCCTGAGCTTCATAGAAACTGCGAAGTTTTTCTCAAGTAAAGGTTTGTGACAATTCTGCATCTAATAAGTCTTTGGGCGTCATTTTTCAATAGTAAGGGCTTACTTCCTGTTTCTGTGTCCCACTTTGTAATTCTCACAATTCTCATAATATTTCAAACTCTTACATAACTTTGTTGCATGCTTAGTAAACTGCAGTACAGTCTAACAATGCCTGGAACACCAAAAATTATGTGCAACATGATATTGTTTATTCTGCTGGTCTGAAACTAAAACCACAATATATCCAAGCTGCGCTTGTATTCTGAAGACAATCCAGTTGTATCCAAAATCAAGAATAACTGTGTCAAAAATTGTCCTTGCTTATTTAACTTGCAAAAATGTCTCAAATTTGCCAATCATCACTGACAAATCCGAGAAATGACGGTTTTCTTTTTTTCCTCCTCCTTCAGACCCCTTATTCCCTATTTTATGAATGAAAACAACTTTCTCAGTGGTATCCTTCCTCTCTAAAGATTCCTGAATTACTGGAAAATCAGCCCAGGTTTAGTATTTACACCTGCATTG